GAAGGAAAGACACTGACTTTTACTATTAATATCTGGTGCCATTTTGTGGTAAATATGCTTGTGGTGAATGTGTCTGATGAATGTCGCTGCTTTGTGTTTTATTTACCCGTAATTACGCTGTTAGTTTAGCTCGCGCCGCATTTTGGCGGCTCTTCCCGCCGGCGTCGCGCGCCGTCTGACATTTCCTGACCTATTTCATAAACTTCAGTTCCCGTTCCGTTCGGGGAAGCTGTGCTGTTTTTATATTGTACAGAAACATAAAGTACAGGCTGCCTGATGGTATTAATAATTCTTCCTCCTGCCTACAGACTCCTGCCAGCTGACGCTGGACCCCAACACAGCACACAGAATCCTGTCTCTGTCAGAGGGGAACAGGAAGGCGACATGGGGGGCAGAGCAGCCATATCCTGATCATCCAGAGAGATTTGACGACTGCCCCCAAGTTCTGTGCAGAGAGAGTCTGACTGGCCGCTGTTACTGGGAGGCTGAGTGGGATGGATATGGAGCCCTGATAGGAGTGACTTGTAAAGGAATCGGGAGGAAAGGAGAGAGTACTGACTGTGCGCTTGGATACAATGACAAGTCATGGATGCTGCGCTGTAATCTTGTCAGTTACTCTGTCCGGCACTATAATAAACTTACTGTCATACCCATAAAGCCCTCAGGCTCCCGCAGAGTAGGAGTGTATCTGGACTGGGCGGCTGGTACTCTGTCCTTCTACAGAGTCTCCTCTGATGGACTGACCCTCCTGTACAGCTTCACCTCCACATTCACCGAACCCCTCTGCCCAGGGTTTTGGGTTTATAGTGACTCCTCAGTGTCGCTGTGAGGTGTTGCTGGTTCTCCTGGCAAAAAGGTAAAATCTCTGCTTCTTAACCTTTATAAACCTTTTTACTCTGAAATGTATGTTTGACAAAAATAAATGCCTGTGTTCAGCGAGCTGAATAAACAAGAAAAATATAATTTAGTAGTTTTTCTCTCTGACTAAAATGTAACTAAATGTTATCTCCCCCCCACTGTTAAAGGTCTGGCTACGCCCCCATCGTACAGAAGGGGCAGGTGCTCAGGACTTTCGTGACATAGCAGGGGGCAGCTAATTCAGCGCCCGGGGAGCAGTGCTTGAGGACATTACTTTGCCCAGGGTACCACAGTGGTGCCTTGTTGGCTGGAGATTTGAACCTGCAATCTTTTGATTACAAGTGCGCTTTCCTAACCATCAAGCCACCACCGCCCACAAAAAGTCAGAGAAGAGCGTGAATGCAGTCCCCCACTACCAGAAATGATGCAGTCGAGATTCCCAGGAGTCAATTCGCAGGAGTCAATACTATTGCAGATTAACATTCTATACAGTGGATGTAGTCAGTTATAATGTCTTTCTATCAAACTGCTGCCAGATTTCTTACATCCACTGGACACGTAAATTCACAGAACAAGCGATCCTTCCGGAAACAGTGTGTACTTTTCTGGGATGCCACTACTACTCAAAAAACGTTCTGAGGGCAGAACGAAAGTTGATTGGTTCAGAGAAATAACCAATCAAATCGTAGAGGAGGCGGGTCTAAAGAAACAGAGGGGGAGGGACCAAGAAACTGAACATTAGGCGGGAGTTTCAAAAAAATGTTTCGGCGGCAGTATTGGTGAAAC